CTGATTGGTTCATGCAGATCATTTTTGCCTGCAAGCCTAGCTGAAAGAATGTGTGCGTGGGCCCGCGTGGATCTGTACTTTTAAGAGGACAACAGACCTGTGTGGACGGCTTGAGCCTCCACTTTGAGAATCCTGAGACTGTAGGAGGCCATGAGGGCTACTGGAAAATAAAGAGAATGGTGGAAGAGCTGCAGGGAAGGGGGGAGAAGCAGCCCGCTAGGAGGCTGTGTCAGTCTCTGTTGCTGTGTGACCAAACTCCCTGCCCCAGTGCTTGGTGGCTCCCTACTACCCATTAGCTGTGGCACCGATACTGGGGGCAGGAATTCAGGAGTGGCCCAGCTGCATGGTTCTGACTTGGTCTCCCTCAGGCCCGCCTTGGAGGCTGAAGCGTCTGTTCCCACGGTGGCTCATGTGACTCTTGGCAAAGGCCTGTTTCTCGCCACCTGAGCCTCCCTGAGGCAGCCTGCTTCCCCACAGCGAGTACAAAAGACAGAGCAACGTGGAAGAGCCACACTGGCGAGGCTGTGTCCTACTGACCACGTAGACAGCTGTGACGTGGTGCCGAGGGCACCATGGAAAGCTGGCTATCACAGTGGCTTTGCCTGTCCCACCATCTCTGCCTTCTTCCCTGCTCCTCAGACGACATCCAGCAAGGCTGCCGCGGGCCAGGCTCAGAGGCAGAGGCTGGTTGAGTGGAGGCTGCTTTGTGGATGCCGGGAGTATGTCGAAGAGCTAACTCATCCTTTGCGTTTTCCCAACCCTGAAGCTTACAGGGGGACCATGGATCTGTTTGGGGATATAGAAGACATTTCTTCTGAGAGTGATGAGGACACTCAACCCCGGGCTCCAGGGCAGTCTGCTGTGAGTATACTCACTAATCCCAGCCGATCGGATTGCTTTATTGAAAGCTAAGCTAAGAGCAGCAGTTCCGAGGCTGACGGGTCAGTTCTGTCGCGTTGAGGGGGGCGGGGGTAAGGAACATGCTGTGACATCTCAGCTGCACTGGGCACTCGGGATATTACAAGGCACAGAAGGAACCGCTCAGAATGAGCTGGATGATAGACTTCAGGCTGCACCCTGAAAGCCTTTCACGTCAAAGGTTTTTCTTACTGAAACCCGCGCCTGGCGAGGGCTGTGTTGCTATTCTTCTGCAACTTCCTCAGCACTCAGTCTTGATGGGTTGAATTTCAACACTGTGTTGCTGAATGTCAGATGCAAAATAGATATGGCAACAAAGCCGGTGTTTTCCCCAGATCTAACAGCTCTTACTTCCCGTGGTGTTTTGTTTGTTTGTTGCAGGGGGGTGGTGAGACCTGAGGGAGAGATTTGGAGGGTTGCTGACTGTTTTATCCCTAAGGTGGCATCTGAATTGACTTCTGTCAAACCTGCACCTGTGCAGTACAGGGTGGGGCTGCAGCAGTTCCACCCCATGTCTCCAAGCTTCGCGTTCTCATTCTTCTCTTAGGATGAACATGGAGGATCCCGGGACCGGGACCCACAGGCAGAGGAGCCCACATCTGAAACCAGAATAAAAATAGAAATTCCCAGTGTCAGCTATGACTTAGGAAATGAGTTGTATTTTGTCAAACTTCCCAAGTTTCTCAATATAGAATCCAAGTAAGAGAACTGAATAACATTTTCAAGATACCAAAAACACAACTAGAGGAATATAAATATGTTTTCTTATTTATGATAAGTTAACTAATCATAAGATAAATTTTTTCATGTAATTAGAAAAATAAATTTAGGATTTACTATAATAGGAGAGTGATGAAGTGGGCTGGGGTGTGGCTTAAGTGGTAGAGTGTTGCCCAGCAGGCTAGAAGTCCTGAGTTCAAACCCCAGTACCACCAAAAAAAATACCAGAAAAAATATGGAAAAGTGTCGAATTCTTGAAGAGAGTTTCAATGTTAGTAATCTTTCCGGCATCTTGGTAACTTCCTCTGAATAATCAGACATCACACTAATAAAGGTGTTGCTCACAAGTATAAAACTGAGAAATTGGAAGACGAGAACGATGCCAGAGACATTCCAAGTGTTCGGTGCAAACACCTCTGTGAATCTAGAAAACATAAAGATTTTGGGGGCGGGACGGGTAATTGGGGATCAAACCCAGGGCCTACGAATGCTCAGCAAGCATTCTACCACTCAGGTACATCGCCAGCCCTTGCTATAGCACAGGCTGCCTTCAAACCTGTCATCCTCTTTCCTCAGCCTCCCGAGTGCTGGAATTAGACAGTGGTTTTGATGGCAAAATAGTGACCATGGGTAGTATACAGTAAGGACACGAGAAAAGGTCTTGTGCAATTAAATCACGACTTTGCTTGGTTCTTCTTAGACAGGATCTTGAATTCATGATTCTCCCACCTCAGCCTCCCAAATGCTAGGATTGTGGTGTGTACACCATGCTTTCCTACTTTGTCTTTAAAAAAGAGTAGACTACGTATTGCCTATAAAGATTTCGAATTATTAGTCACATTTGGATTTTATTTTAGGCAGTATGTTTAAACAACAAATTTTCAGGAAAATAATTTGCATACTTCCTTGAAGGTTTACATGAAGTTATTTGTCTACTGCTATTTGAAGAAGTGTATTGGTGCACGGTATTAATCATATCAACACGACTAACATGACATTTTAAAACGATTTTTAGACCCTTCGATCCACAGTTTTATGAAGATGAATTTGAAGATGAGAAAATGCTTTATGAGGAAGACAGGACCAGGCTGAAGTTAAAGGTGCTGCCCCTGCCCTACTCCATTTAGCTTTGCTTCTGTTTGCTTGTGTTTTAAGATGAGGCCTCCCTATGTTTTCCGGGCTGGCTTTGAACTCCTGGGCTCAAGCGAGCCTCTTTTTTATTTATTTTTTTTGTGATACTGGGGTTTGAACTCAAGGCCTCACACTTCTAGGCAGGCGCTCTACTATTTGAGCCACTCCACCAGCCCTTTTTTGTGTTGGGTATTTTTGCCTTCTGATCTCTGCGTCTGAGTAGCTAGGATTTCAGGAGGGAGCCACTGGCACCGGCTCAAGTGAGATTCTTGCTTCAGTCTCCTGGGTAGCTGGAACTACAGACATACCACCATGTCCAGATAAGTGTTTTCTTTTGTAAAGTAAAACACAGGGATGATGAATTGAGCTTATGAAAATCTTTAATGTCTCCTGTTTAATCAATAAATAATTCTAAAACAAGGAAGTAAATGGCTTTTCACAATATTTTTAGGGGAGAAGATTTTTCCCGTTTTCCACTGTAGAATGATTTTTTTTTTTTTACCTTTTTTTTTTTTTTAGTTTTAAGTTTTTGGCAAAAGTAAAGATAGAAAATATTGAAAACTGAAAACTATTAGCTGCTTCCTTTGGGGTAAATGTAGGGAGGGGTATGGAACTGCTTCCACACTAGTGGCTAGGTCCCAGCAACCTCCCACAGTTGAAATGCCTCAGGCTCTTCGTGGAGATTCAGTTTATGGAGAGCAGGCCTGGCTATCAGGTGCCATCTCCTCAAAGACCAGAGACGGCAAAACCCTCTATTGCCTGGGCAGGGGTGCTGTCTTCCTTAACAGGGTTTCCTCTGAGCTCCTCCCAGGGACCCAGAGGTAGCAGTAGGCACAGTCCATTTTTATTCTACTTTTCTTTTCTTTCTTTCTTTTTTTTTTTTTTGCAGTATTGGGGTTTGAACTCAGGGCCTACACCTTGAGCCACTCCACCAGCCCTTTTTTGTGATGGGTTTTTTCAACATAGGGTCTCGCAAACTATTTGCCTGGGCTGGCTTTGAACTTCAATCCTCCTGATCTGTGTCTCCTGAGTAGCTAGGATTACAGGCATGAGCCATGAGCACCTGGAAACTCTACTTTTTCTGAATGTGACACTCTGTGGAGGTAAATTTGGACTCAAAAACAGAGCTAAGCACAGCTCTCAGATTTTAATTTGTTAATTTTTTAAAAAAAACATTCAAATTTCAGGCTGAGCTTCTGTGTCTTGACTACTTGGAAAGCCCTTCTTTCATTGGGTTCAAACTAGCTCTCCATGTGGCCCTGGGATGGCAGAGGTATCAGAATTTTTTTTCCTTCCTCTTTTGCAGTGCTGGGGATTGAACCCAGGGCCTCATGCCCACTAGGCAAGTGCTTTATCACTGAGCTACGTCCCCAGCCCAGAGGGCTCCATCTCTCTTCTCTCTTTTGCAGCTGGGGTTTGAACTCAGGGCCTTGCGCTTGCCAGGCAGGCGCTCTACCACTTGAGCCATGTCCCCAGTCCTCCTTTGCAGCACTTAGTGCACCAGTAACACCCCAGTTTGTGTTGTGCTTTGCTTCTGCTTCTACTGCTATAAACTGAACTCAGAACAGGTAAACAAAAGGTCTGATTAGTTTACCCAATATCGCAGGGTTTTGGTGTTGATGAATCAGCTTATTCTGTCATTACTTATCAGTTCCTGGCACTGGACTATAAGTCACTTGCTGTAGTAAAGTTGGTTGCCTAATATATCTGGGTTCTGAACCAGGTAGAAAATACCATCCGATGGAGGATACGACGGGATGAAGAAGGAAAGAAAATTAGGGAGAGCAATGCTCGGATAGTCAAGTGGTCAGATGGAAGGTGAGCACAGCAGGCTGAGGAGTGTTGACCTCCAGGGCACGCCTGGATGAGTGACGTTTTCCATGGGGCACCTTGTTTGGGGATCATTTTCTTTAAAGGATTGACCAAATCTGGGCCTCTGGCATTCCCTGGGGAACCTGAATGAACTAGTAGAGTTGAGGTCACATAGCCATGCTAGTGGGAAATCTGGACCTAGATCCAAGATGTGACCAAATTCTTTCGCTCTGCGTTCCTGATGTGAAAGCCTACAGCTAGATCCCATCTGTGAGGTATCGGATATGATAATTTAATGTTTTGAAAACTTGTTTGCTACTCAAGTGGCAGAGATCAGGAAAGGTGCAAGATAATTATAGTTCAAGTGACAAGGGGGTAGCTTTGACTACTTTCTCCTGTGAAAGGAGGTGAAGTTATTGACTGCACCTTTGCTGGTGAATTCAGAATGTGGACAGGACCTGTGCGTCTACACTATTTGAAGTAAAACGAACAGGGTAGATGGAATGGACGCTGGGAACCCACTGCACACCACCCTATAATGCCTCAACTGTCTCTCTCTCCAGCATGTCCCTGCATTTGGGCAGTGAGGTGTTCGATGTCCACAGAGCCCCTCTACAGGGCAATTACAACCACCTGTTCATCCGGGAAGACACGGGTCTACTAGGACAAGCCATCTTTAAGTCCAGACTTACCTTTAGGTAACTTTTCATAGATGCAATGAAAAAGCGACAAAGCGCAAATGTTGCACAAAAACCCTGCCCTTGTAAAGGACATGGGACACAGTGCAGCTCACCACAGACCGTGCTCTGGTTCCCATACAATTTTCTCAAGTTAACTGTTTCTCCCGGAGCCAGCTCACACCGTCAAAACTCACAGGAGACTGATGTGTCACCTGGAACACGGTGTGTCATTCACTTTGGCCAGTGCCCAGTGGACTTTGTTTTGGTTGCTTGGTGTGTCCTTTCCCTCTAGTGAACAGGCTCAAGGTGCTAAGCGATCATCAGAATGGTGTCAGTGTGTGCCTGTGGCAGGTGTGACAGGGTTAGTTCTTCCCTTACCTGCCCGAGGCTGCTGCAGGCCACCCAAGCAGACAAAACCCGGTCAGCTGAGCCCACTGTGGGTCATGCCTCGTCCCCTTGTCAAGGCCACACTGCTGCTATTAGAAGCTGGCTTTCCATAACTGTGGGCACAAGGTTCTTTTTCTAAAATCAGATTGTGGACATGGTCACACACTTCAGCTAGGGCATGTACAGTGTCCTTAGCAAATCTGTTGGTGGCTGTAAAGCCTGGAGGGCCAGTTAGGAGGCTGTGTGCACTTCAGGAAGGGGCTCAGTCTCACCCATTTCCAGTTTTCTTTGCTGTAAAACAGACAATGTCTACTTCCCAGGGATGTTGTGTGAATTGCTGAAGGCTGACATGATGTTTAGTTCAGCCTCCTCTGGATCCCTCCTAGAATGCATCCTAATGGTCACAGTCCCTAGCTTGCTTTGTTCCGTTCTGCCCCATGCTCACCCTGAGGTAACAGGTGACCGTTCATCCCAATTCATCCCTCACGTCCTTCTCTACAGCCCTCGCTGTCCTTCAGAGCCCCTCTTCCAAGGTCACCCTTCCTTTGCTCTTAGGTACTCATTAAAAACTGCCTTCTTGCCTTGGGGAAGACATTTCTTTCTGTGCCAGGAGTCCTGTTCCAGCTGTCTTGTCCCCTCGGGATACTAACCTACTTTGTGTTGGCAGTCCTGGTTTTATCCAGATAGAGAGACTCACTGTTTTGTTTTTTCCTTTGGCGGCACTGAGGCCTGAACTCAGGGCCTCATGCTTGCTAGGCAGATGCTCTACCACTTGAGCCACTTTGCCAGCACTCATTGTTTATTCTGAAATTGTACTTCTGGCCTCTGTGCCACCCTTTTGGAAATGAAATTCAAATTCCTTCCATGATTGCAGTTGGAGATATTCTTTGTAACAGGCCTTGACCTTGCAGCTGCCTCTCCTTCTTTCCACTCCACTTCTATCCCCCACCCCAGTCAGCTGTCCCATGGAGTAGGGCAGAAGGAGGAACTTCTCATGTGACTGAGACTGAAGAACCGCTTCTCACTCAGCTCAGTGTTAGGCTGTCCCTGTCACAGGTGTTTGTGCTATTGGTAAGTTTGTCCCAAATATTAGGAAACAGCAAAGAACAAAAAATGAACATTTTTTATTCGTTTTCATTTTTTGTTCATTTCCTGGCAGACCTCACTCTACAAACAGTGCTACACATAAAAAGATGACTGTGCCACTCATGGATAGAAGTTCAAAGACACAGAAGATCAGAATCTTACCAATGGTGGGTCATGATCCCGAATGCCAACGTACAAAAATGATTAAGGTACGTTGGATAGGCTTTTTCCTGGGATTTTTGGGTATTAAGAGCTATGTTTCCAGGCCCAGGTGTGGTGGCTCACACCTGTAATCCCAGCTACATGGGTAGCATAGGTAGGAAGATTGCAGTCCAAGGTCAACCTATGTAAAAAAGCTCAAGACCTTATCGAAAAATAACTAAAGCAGGGCTGGTGGAGTGGCTCAAGTGGTAGAGCACCTGCCTAGTAAGTGTGAGGCCCCAACTTCAAACCCCAGAACCACCACCAAAAAAAAAAAAAAAGACTAAAACAAAAGGGGGGCATGGCTTAGGGAGAACAGCATATGCCTAGCAAGCATGAGGCCCTGAGTTATAATCCAATACCGCCAAAAATAAAGGGGTGTTTTTCAGAATATTAATTTACTGTTTCTTATTCCATTACTATTTTATTTATCAGAGATGAGCCAGCTTAATCTTCTATGTAGGTTAGTACTGGTGTTTGCCCTCTAATCTATGAGAGTTCAGAAAAACACTGATGATTAATAAAAAACAAACAAACAAACCACCTTTGACAGACATTACAAAAAGTAAGCAGGTCAGAGGACCATTCCTGGCTCATCTGAACCTGGGTGCAGAATGCCAGCAGCTGTGAAGGAAATGAAGGCTCTGCCAGGCCCTCCACTCCCCATCCTGCTGTGGGAACAGGGGGAGCATCTGGAGGCCATGGAAGTTTGGTGGAGCCTGGCAGGTCAGGTGTCTGCCGCTTAGGGCTGAACAAAGATAGCCTCCCCAGCCCCAGGTATCTGCTGGGTGTGGAAGGGTTTCTAGTAGGATTTTTTTCTTTTTTTAGTGGCACTGGGGTTTGAACTCAGGGCCTCATGCTCCCCAGGCAAGCACTGTATCACTTTAGCCACACACATAGGCCTTTTTGCTTTTTGTTATTTTTTCAGATGGGAGTTCTTGTTTTTGTTCAGGGCCAGCTTCTGACTGGGATCCTCCTATCCATACCTCTTGTGTAGCTAGGACTACAGATGTGTACCACCACATCTGGCTTGTTTGTTGAGAAAGGGGTCTTGCTAACTTTTTTTGTCTAGGCTGGCCTCAAACCACACTCTTTTTTATCTCCGTCTCCCAAGTAGCTGAGATTACAGATGTGAGCCACTGTGCCTGGCCAGTAGTTCAGTTTTTAAGTTGAAGAGTTTATTTGCTTATTTACAGAAAGCAGAGCAACACTTGAGGGTATCTACTCGAAAGTCCAGCCATCGGCGGGGAAAGAAGAACCAGCAGAGGCCGTGTGCCCTCCACCAGGACCCTGGCAGTGATGAGGAGGAGGGCGAAGAAGATGAAGAGGCCTCCAGCCTGGCTGCCACTGGAAACCACCAGCAAGGGGAACTCCGTGAGTGGGGGGTGGAATACCATCACTTCAGGAGGCAGAGCCTGTTTGCTCTGTGAGCTCTTCCTCCCCATCCTACTGTTATTTACCTAGGCTAATGGTACAAAAGCCTTGTTTTTTGGCTTTGGTTTCGGTCGTTCTCCTACAGAAAAGGTTAACTGTGAAAATAAGGCATTTCTGTACTAACAATTAAAACCTATTAATAAATGGTGTTTGTGGAGGGAAATGTCAATACATATATACTTACTTACATACATACTTGTTACATATGTATTAATGGCATAATTAAGGATTCAATATTTAAGCTTCATAGTTCTTAAAGATGATGCATACACGTTTCTTGGGAACTTATGGAACAAAACCTAAGTCTTTCATCATGTGTAAAAGTCATTTATCTTCCCACTGAAACTTCAAAAACAATGTTGTTTTTGTAGTAATTCAGCAGAAGAAAAATTCAGAGATAAAAGGGTCATCTCTGAAGGTTGTTCTGGAAAACCCAGTGTAAAGGCACCAGCCACTATAGGCAGGATGTGTCAGGAGACTGAACAGACAGGGCAGACAGACCCAGGGCTGCACTTATTGAGGACTCACTGACAGAAGCGTGGTCAAGGGCAAAAGCAAGACTGGAGGTCTCTGGAAACTTGGGGGAGAGGGTGGGCGCTTATGCAGCAGTCAGGCTGGCTTTCATTCAAACCAGGACGTGTCTAGTTTTTTGGAAGTAACATCAAAGGTGCACAAGCCACATTAATGGCTGTTTATCTGTAGAATGTAGGGAACAGGCAGGGTCACTGAGGGCAACTGTGGTGGCTCTGACTCTGCAGTCTGGTCCCTACAAAGATCAGTCCCATGTCTAAAATTCCTTTGTTTCCAGGGGAACGAACCACAACCAGCTCCTCAGATGAGGGATCAGAAGATAAGGCTCAAAAGGCAAAGAAACTCACCAGTGATGAGGTAAGCCAACACCAACCAGGGGTTTACCTCGCACTCAGGAGCCAGCTGACAGGCTAGGAGCAGATCACTACATAGTTGCCTGACGTTCAGCAAGGCAAATGCAGTAGGAGTCGGAGTGTTCCAGGGGAGGGTCTGATGCCTGTGCTGTGGTGGGTCTTGGAAGGCTTCATGTTGGAGAACTCTCTCTGCTGGGTATTGAGGAATAAATGGGAGCTTTGCAAGCTCACAGGCCAGGGTGGCCATCTCAGATGGATGGAAGTACTGCAAGGCAAGATGTGGGGCCTGAAGACCCAAGTCTCAGCTGAACAATGACAAACAGTTCACAATAGAAAACGCAAGGGATCCACCATGTTCACTGCAGGAATGGATGTCCTTATTGAAGGGCTATGATGGTAACTAAGGGTGTTCATCTCCATGTTCTTAAGCTATTTCCCACTAACTCCTTGTTTTACTTTTTTCTTATGAGATCACGTGGAAACTAAGTCTTTTTTTTTTTTTTTCATCGTTTTCCATCAGTCCTGAGAGCAGGACATTGACTCCTTTTTTTTTTTTTTTTTCATTTTTCTTTTATTATTCATATGTGCATACAAGGCTTGGTTTATTTCTCCCCCCTGCCCCCACCCCCTCCCTTACCACCCACTCCACCCCCTCCCGCTCCCCCCCTCAATACCTAGCAGAAACTATTTTGCCCTTATCTCTAATTTTGTTGTAGAGAGAGTATAAGCAATAATAGGAAGGAACAAGGGGTTTTGCTGGTTGAGATAAGGATAGCTATACAGGGCATTGACTCACATTGATTTCCTGTGCGTGGGTGTTACCTTCTAGGTTAATTCTTTTTAATCTAACCTTTTCTCTAGTTCCTGGTCCCCTTTTCCTATTGGCCTCAGTTGCTTTAAGGTATCTGCTTTAGGGAAACTAAGTCTTACTTATATATGAGGCTCTCTGTTACTGCCTCTATTTTTTCTGAGTACTTAACACACCCCATCCTAGGTCCCTGAGATGCACACAGGAATACATATCACAGTTGCATAAACGTTTAAACATGGATGACTTCATTTGTTTCACACACACACACACACACACACACACACACACACACAAATTTTAAAAGCATACTGAAAACAACATAAAACGTAAGCAATCCTTGTTTAAAATATCAAAAGGCTTTAAAATACTGAATTCCTCCTGCAATGGCAGCTTCCCAAGATCCTGGCCTCCTAGGGACTGTGCTATGTGGACACAGGGTGACCGCTAGAGGGCGAGTTCCAACACCAGGAGCTGACTGCTCCAGTGTCAGCCCAGAAGCACTTTGGAAAAATTTCCAGAAATGAGTTATATTGAATTTAGTGTTATCTCTCCAATCTTTTCAGGAAATGACTCCTCTGGAAACAGGAAAGCCAGGGGTGAAGAGGAAGATGAGTGAAGCCTAAAATATGCACTATATTGCATTCAACAGGTTTAACTTTTTGGTGGTGCTGGGAATTGAAAGCTAACATGTGCTTTACCACTGAACTACTTGTCTACCCCTCAACGGTTTGTTTTATATGATGAAGTGACTTGTTTTGACTGAAGTAAATTGTGTTGCTTTGGTAAAATTCTAGTTGTAAATGAAAAACGTTCAAAAACAAGTCTGTGACTTCAGAAAGTCTGCTTTTCCCCAGTAAAGTTATTTTGATGACTCTTTGCTCTGGGTGTGTCTTGGGTTCAAGTGCACTCCTGTTGCCCTGCCCTGCCCCACTGCTTCCTCCTGGCCTGGGCACAGAGGTTGGGCACAGAGGTTGGCTCAGGTGTAGCTTCCTCTAGGTGTCTTCCCTGACCTAGCTAGCTGCGTTTGGGGCCCTAGCCCCCTTGGCAAGGTGTTAATTCTGTCACCACAAGGCCCATCATCTTAGAGATACAGGTACAGCATGGCGTAGCTCACTGGATACTGGGTGAGGGCCTTACCAGTTCCACTTCTCTGAATACCCTGAAGGGCAGCAAGTGTATTATACAGCTGGCAGCTGAGGCATACAGTGCTTAAGACACTGTAAAAAGGTTTGTTTTTTTTAAATCTTTTTTTTGAGACAATTAGGATCTCATAGACATAGCCATCGCAATGTGGAGCAGATACCATAGGGACACGATAGAGACAAGATACCCAAAATGTCTCCGAGAGAAATGGGTACCCTTAGGTTCAGGGAAAAGAGCAGTCTGAAACAAAACAGATCTGACCCTAGCATTGTGACTGCTCCAGGAGCTGGGAGATAACAGACACCAATGAATGAACCAATGGTGTCATCACAGGCAAGTCATTTCACTTCTCTGATGTCAGCTTCTTCAACAAGGTGGGGTTTAAACTTGACTATGTAAGCCCTTCATGATCTGATGTTTGTATTTATCTACCTCTGGGAGTTGAACACTAGAAATGTTTTTTAAAAATGTTTTATTAAAAAGAAATGATATGTGAGGCTCTGAGTTCAATCATCAATAGTGGAGAAAAAAAAAATAAATAAAAGGAAATCAAAGAGAAAACCACAGCCCAGCTTCACATCAAGCAGAAAACCCCGATTTAAATTCTTCTTCCCTCTTGTGCTCTTACAGCACAATTTATGGTTGTATGTAAAAACACTCGTAACTCACGTTAGCTCCTGAAAGGGAATTTCAAGACTCATTCAAAACCCTGAGAGGCCTTCACACAAGTTAGCTGGAAGCACAGGATTCTCCATGTATGGGCTAGGCTCGAGGTTCTCAGCCCTTACAAGCCTGCAGGAAAGCTTCGCATTTGAACGGGGAAGATGCCTGGCAATTTTGGATCCACATGTGGTTGACCACCCGTTTGGTACCTAAAAGCAGAGCCTCTGGCTAAGCATTTTAGGGGCAGTTTTAGGGATACAGTAAGGCGCCAGCTCCTGGGACTTGGGGAGCTGCTCACAACCCAAGCACCTGAGCCTCCCTGGCCGGCCATATGCGTCAAGGCCTCCTGTCTGTGAATGTAAGGTTCAGCACCATCAGAAGCAAAACAACATTGAAGATTCAAGGGAACTTTATTCCCCTAAGAAAACTGACATTTTAAAGTGACGTGGCATTTATCCCTTACACGTTTCACTGCTTTTCTTTTGGCTGATGGACACAGATGACTGGTAAGAGATGTTGCTGCATTGTACGAGTCACCACTAGCTTATCAGAACTGGCTCTCAGCAGGTCAGAACATTCTGCATCACAGGACCCTGCCTCTAGGTTTGTCAACTCAGTTTTATAGACAGGCAAGACTGAGTACTGATGGTAATAGGTTGAACTATGTGAAATCGTTATTTTTATGAGTGAAAAGTCAACACAATTTTATACGGCTCAACAGGGCATCCTAACAAAATACCACAGACTGGGATCTTAAATATCAAGTTTACTCCTATTTCCAGAGGCTATGAAATGCAAGATGAAGGGTCAGTCCTGGTGAGGAACTTGGAGACGGCCACCCTCTCACTGTCCTCATATGACAGTCTTGTGTCTCTTCATATATGGGTAATAATCCCATCATTAATGCCCCACTGCCTGGACCTTACCTAACCCTAAGTACCTTCCAAATGCTACTGCACTGAGGGTTAAATTCATATGAATTTGGAAGGGACACAAATATCGAGTCCATAAACAGGTAAGAAAGAATAACTCAGGGAAATGAGTTTGTTCTTCAAGACGGATTTAAGGAACAAACTGTAGAATACAAGAGCTAAAGGGGTTATGTGCTTCTTCACAAGTCCAAGTCTGCAGGGAATTTGGTGAACTTTATTGAAATTATTTGTTCCAGTATACAGGATAGGTTCTAAACGCCTATAGTACATATTCTAAAAAGAAACTTCTTTGTGCTATTATGAACTGATTAAGTATCAGTGTTATAAAATTCATTGCTTTTATACTGAATGAAAAATAAAACATTTAGAGTATTTTAGACATATTGCATTAGGAAAAAAACCTATTTAAATATCTGACTCAATGTGACAAAGAATGATGCATTGTTATCAATGGTAATTTCAAGCTTTTAAACGTAAGTAAAACCAAATACAATTCATACAAAAGGACTGAAAAAAAAAGCAGGAAATCACAAAGATTTTTATGCTATGTGTGTATACTTTTAACAAACAATTCTTAAGCAGATGAATCTAAAAATTTGAGACAACTGAATAAAAAACTTATCTTTTAGCTGGCATGTGCATCCAGCAGGAGTATTATTTGAGATCAGGAGTTGGAGGCCAGCCTGGGCAACATAGCAAGACTCTGGTTTTGAAACCAAACAAATACTTTTCTGAGTAGAGGTGAAATAAACTCTAAAACATTGCTATACATACCCATCAAGGAATACCTAGAAACCAGCTGCTGATGGCTTGTGCCAGCAACCTGAGTTACTTGGCAGAATGAGATCAGGAGAGGTAAGATTCACGACCAGCAGGGCACATAGTTCATGAGACTCCCATCTCCAAAATAACCAGAGCAAAATGGACAGAGGTGTGGCTCAAGTGGTGGAATGCCTGCTTTGTAGTGCAAAGCCCTAAGTTCAAACCCAGTTCCACCAACAACAAAAACAAAAGAAACCTACCTGGAAATTTTTTTTTTTTTTTAGAATTTGTTCTTAAACTTACTCTTTGTATAAATTATATCTGAAAGGTTTTATGCCAGTTATTTGCTTTTATCAATTAAAACACACTGACAGTCTGTAGGAAAAGGAGTAAAACCTTTGCATGCAGACTATAAGGACAGGGGTTATCTTGAAGAGTTTGTGTGAACTTACTATAGTTAACAAAACATGGCTGATGGTTTCTTTCTGTAACTACACAGCCTCTAAAGCACGTGTCCCCATCCCAGTTCTTTACATGCTAATCAAACTTTTCTAAATAATGTGGTGAAGCTGACAATAATTTACTTAGTAATGTCCTTTTTCCTAGGTAGCCCCCAAGGTTGGCCCTCATGAATGACCAGACTGCAAGGTGGAGTTTAAAATTAATAAAATGTTACAAATGTTTTATTATAATAAAAATTTTCATTATTTAATTTTTATAGGGAAGGACATATGGAATTGAATGGACAAAAATCATTAAGACATAAAGAATTACCAAATTAAAATGTGATTTAATATACAAACCTTTGCCTATGGATGGCATCATCTCAATTTAAGAGTAGTGAAGTTTCTTTGATTTGTTTGGTAAGCAAGTCTTAGAAAGCTCTTTAGAAACGGTAACGACTGGTGAGAGCTGCAGAGAGAGGACTACTGTATAGATGTTAGATCCAAGGCCCACACCCCCTGTCCAGCAGCAGCTACAGCCATTTCTAGTATTCCTGTAAGTTCAGTTCTCCTAGGAGTCATGTCTTCACTTCCAAAAGTGAAGGTGCACTGCTGGGAAGGAGCTGGACTGTAATGAACTGGCAGAAAATGGCAGTGGCCAGGATTCCAGAGAAAGCGTACACTTAGATCTCCTGGGAGGTAACAGTGCTTGCTCCCTGACCTAATGGAAAAAGTGAGGCAGCCCTGGGAGCGTAAGATTTTATGAAACTTCATGAATTTTTCTCACCTTATTTTAATGGCAACAAAGATTAATATAATGTACAATAGAACATGAGTAACATTTTATCAAAACATTTTCCTTTTATAAATTTATTATATCATGGAATCCCCCTTTTAAAGGAAAACATCAGAGAATTTATCAAGTGGAGCACAATTCTGGAAGGTTATTCACATGTAACTTTTCCAGACTGTACCTTTTACACAAAGCAAAAATGTGGGTTACTTTACTCACATTAATGACAAAAATGATTCTTCTTGAAATTGCTAACAATCTGCTAATTTATGTAACACAAATGTTTATTTGGTCTTTTAAATGACAGGCACCCTTAGAAAATGTATGTTAATTATTCTGTAGACATTTAGTAGGCTTTAGCTACAAGTACATAGCACCCAAATCCATTTTCAGAGTATTAATATTAGGCACTGATACTAAGTTTTTAATATGTACTATTTAACAGAAATACAGAAATAATTCGGACTTCAGACAAATATAAATACATAATTTTATAAAATGGATAATTAAAAGTTTTTTAAAAAAAAGCAATTTAAAAATGCAAAGAATATTCTCTTAGATAACCAGATTAAGTTTAAATTGGTTGGACTGCAAAAAAGTTTTAGAAAGTCTCTGGATTAAGGCTGGGTGTAGTGGTACATGCCTGGAATCCAAGCACTTGGGAGGCTAAGGCAGGAGGATCATGAGTTCAAGGCCAGCCTAGGATACACAGCAATAGCAAGTTCCAGGCCAGCCTGGACTACATAGTGAGACACTGTCTCAACAATAACAAAAAGAATCAAATCTCTGGTTTTAAGAATTAAAGAGTATCTCAAAACTCTAATTTACTCACTCTACTATAAAAATCTTAGAGCAAGTGAGAAATACTGAGTTACTAAGAGTTTATGAGGTGCAAGATTTTTAATGATCAAAGTAAACACTGTTATTCTCCCTTACAATTGCAATTCTTTGAAAGATTCTGTATATTCAACTGGATGAGTGTTCAGACTTGAAGTTACTTATACAGAAATCTTTTCTTCAAATACATATTGCAGCACAGAACCAGAATGGTATAAGCAAAATATTCAACTTATTCATAGTTTGATAAAGAATAAAATGAAAAAGATATTCCCGTAAGTATGATACCAAATTCTACGTAGGGTCACACCTTATTTTCAGACAAAACCTGTGGGAGGAGGGAAGCAGACTCATCAAGTGATGTGCAGGGTGATGCAAACGAGGAAGCCTGGCAGCAAGATTAAGTGACCAATGCTTTTTTTTTTAAGTAGCAACTTATTTCTGGTAGCCTTAGATATCTGCTCTATGCCTGACTCCAAACTTTTTTTTTTTTTTTTTGTGGTACTGGATGAACTCGGGGCCTCACACTTGGGAGGCAGGCCCTCTACACTTGAGCCACTCCGCCAGCCTGACTCCAAGCCTTGCTAGAACTATGCAGTCTCTTCTCTATAAAACCAAGTACAATTTGAAAGTTGTATATGAGAAGAAAAAGAGAGGAAGGGGAAAAAGGAAGGACAGAAATACAGAGAGCGAGAAGGAAGGCAGGTAGGCAAGAAAGCAAGCAATCGAAGCCTTGCTGACTTGATTTAAAAAAAAAAAAAACAGTGACTTTTAACTGGAAGGGAATAGTGCAAAGCTAATCTTTGGCCCATTTGAAACACTGGATTCTGATTTAAAAAAAAAACAAATATAGTTCTTATGAAGGAAGCTTTAGCCTGTTACGGCTCCTTACCACAGTATACAAGAACCTTGTGTAGCTCATGAGATAAACTGGCTGAAGCCAACGTAGCAGACTTCTTGCAATTCCATTATAAAATTTACAATAAACTGCCTCCTTCCTACTCAAAAATATCTTTCTGTAAAGGATCCCAGATAGGCCTCAACACTGGAGGGCAGTGTTCCTGGATCCTTTCCTCCTGTCTTTGCAGCTGTGAAGGCCCTGCCATCTCCTGCTGCAGGGTCTGCCCTGAGATAAGAGCACGAAAATAAATCCAAATCCTCTGTTCAGCATTGGGCGTACAGTCGCACACCCTCCTCCCGCCACAGTACACTTTCAAGTGTCTGCCTTAATATTCAGGGGATAAAGACCACTTTTGTTATAGAAATTATGGATGAAAAGGTACAAGAAGGACAGGATCATTTACTGAAATCTGATTTCTGAAGAATAGCAGTTTTCATGATTGGATGGACAAAGTGCAGTCGGGGTTCTGTACTGCCTATGCGGAACTTCTTACCACACTGTGCAACACCAGGTAACTCATGCACGTGCCAGCGTTCTAGTTTAGTTACAGTACCCCTCAATGTAAGGGACCATTTTGCAAGTTCTTTACACTTGAACTCCATCATGTTTATCTTTGATTTCATGTGTTCAACAGCAGCTTTTTTTTTTTTCCCCACCCTAAATAACTGAGACTTGGCCAAGTGCCTTTTTATTGGAAGAAAACAGCTTTTCTACTTAAGACAATTTCTACCAGTAGCTTTTAGGAAAATTTATAATGCCCACATTAAAATGAAAAACTGCAACAAACTTAGACACAACTATATTTTAACCCATCGGAGCTGATGACTATTGAAAAACAAAACCAAACCCTAGCTGTTGCTGAGACACACCAGACAAGTGCATCACCCACAATGCAGAGGACTATGTTCTCTCCTGGAGGTCCACTCTGGTTCCTGAACACGCCACCAGATTTGAGTCAAAATTTGTGTCCTTGATAAGAAATATACCCTTGCCAAGTTCACGTATTCTAAAACATGGAAAAGGTTCCAGGTTACGGGATAAAGAACGCGTCTAAGTGCCTTTGGCCTACGAGGAGCGTAATTTTGAATTACCAATGTCTACTGTTGATTTAAAAAAAGACTGACCTTCAAAATGTCCAAGTTATTCAAGAGGAATGACTTCCGAAACTTTTTTACAATTTTATCTGTTTGCCCATTCAATTAAACTAAATTAAAACTGTTATTAGTACAAATTGGGAATGCTTTAAAATATAAAGTATCACCTACTATTGATTTTACAGTTTGAAACTGGTAACAACTTAAACTAGGAAAATAATGAATATACTTAAAAAAACAAAAAAACATTTCCAGTCTTTTCCCTTGTACCCAGGAAAATTTTGCATCAGATGTCACCAATATGGGCTACTGGTGATCCTCTGAAGTCTTCCAAAGGTTGCACATTGGTGGACTTACTGGTGGTCTCCTTCAACTCGCCTCTTGCGCACTGTGAGGAAAATAGAAGAAAGCATTTAGAGACCCCTGGGTTTTTACAGTGTTAACTTGCTTGTAACAAATAAGTTTCTAGACAATCAGGCTAAAGTTTTACAAAAATGAAGTGGTTTATTCCCAATTCACATGGTCACTAATTAAAAAACTATTTCCCATCATTCAGCATGGTCATTTACCTGATGAGAACCAAGAGGCTTCTAAACAAGAACTACATGTCCTAAGCTCCCTGACACTTGTTTACATAGCAGCACAGAATGGTCAGCATTCAGCTCGAGTCATTTGTTTACTGACAAAAATGTATGTCTAGGTTTAAAAAATGATCACTAAACTGGTGCGTTCAATCTGCAATGACATTCGGGCAGCTGGGGTTAGATGGTATTAAAAGTACATGCATGCTCTCCTGGTTCCACACTACAATGTATTCCTTCAGTCTGAAAGAATACACCAAAACATTTTTGTCATTTCTAAAGATAAGTGACTTGCTACTATTTTCCAATTTTTCCTTCTCTTGTCTCCTGCAAAATGAACCAGTTCAGGGCTCTGAAAAAACAAATGCAAGATGTATCTCAGGTTCTGGTAATGTGGGGAGGTCACTTCTAGGTACCATAAACTTTGGCTGTCAGAGTAGCCAGCCAACTAGTTCAGCTGACGGAGTAAAGGAGGTGCACATATCTGAGGACTCCCAGCCTTCATGGACAGGTGAATCCAAACAACTCGACTGTGTTCACTAGCAGCAGGGTAAGGCCTGCAGTTTCAGATCTTGCTACCTATGCCCTTGCACATCAACCATGAGAGTATTTGCCAAGAGCTGCCAAGTCAGCACTCCTCGGTGTTGTGGCTGGTAACTATGTTGTGAGGACAAAAAGTGCCAGGTTCCAGAGTCCAATGGCTGTCACTTTTCTGCAGTGTGTTTTCGGGTTAGTCAACCCGAGGATGAGCTTTAACTCATCCTCTGTAACAGGAGAATGATGATAGCTACACCTTATGGTTATGCAATTAAAGGCATGACAAGTTGTGTTGTGCAGCCTTAATAAGAGTACTCAGCTTTATCACCTGCCACAGTGAGATTATAAGATGGTCCTGAGGCACTGGTCAGTCATCTTTTTGGAGTAAGGAAAGCTAATTTGGCTACCATGGAGGATTTGCATTTAGGTGCTATTTGTTTTGATATTTTGTTCCCAGTAAGTTTCTCTGATTAAGATAGACTGGCCTATTAATCTCACATCCTCTTCTGTCTATGAAAGAAAGTAGTAAGAAAACTGCCTCTTTCTTCAACTTAAATGGTTTATTTGATAGAGGAACTAGGAGCCAAGAAGTGGTCCTGGCCTCCTGACCCAGCCAGGATACTAGTTGCCCTCTATTCTGGCTATGGGCTTTTGTTTGTTGGCTTTTAATAGATAAGATCAGACACTCAAGTGATGTGTATAAAAGCCTGCCCAGTCACTGATTAGATGCTAGCTAGAACATAAAAGGAAAGTTTCAGGACCCTATGAACACATGCTTATCCTCTAAAAATTTTAGTCCATGGTAATAAAGAACAAGTTTCTCATGCTTATTGAAATATTAAAAGGAAAAGAAATCAAGAGACCCGGGTCTTCAAATACAAACTGAGCAAATACATAGCCTGAGAAGTATAGAAATATCTGAAAGGCAAACTTCAGAGAATCTTTAGGACAGGGTTTGGCTGTCATTGGCAGACCATGTCTGATGTTAAAATGCATGTTATAAAAATGTTATAGGCAAGATTTACAGGACAGTGTACTGCAAACAAAAAAGGTGTATAGAACTGAGTATGTAGTTAGCTAATGTAAAGATAATAAGTAGTATAAGCTCAAAGTTCAATTGAACAGTGTACATATACCATATAACCTCTTTTCTGTTATAGCCGAGATACTTCTTAGCCGGAGAGACAGTGAGTAGGTAGAAATTATTTCAATGAATAGCTGAGACTAAGAAAACAAAAAAAGAGGAAAAGATGTTATCAGAATGAGAACAACAAAGATCTGCTATAGCCCCATTTGCAAGCTGAAGGAGAAGTATATGCCCAAGAGATTCTGTAAGTTTCAAGTTTTGTTCTGTGTAACTCTTTTGAGTAATTACATATCAGGCTGCTGAGACCAGTGTGTCAGAAAATATGGTCTTCTGCCTTGATCTGCAGGCAAAGGTCACAGTGTATGGCTGACAAAGATCCAGCTGAGAGTGGAAGAGAAAGGGGTTGCTGCTGCTGTGCGCATAACCCAGCAGAGGGTGATGGGCAGAGAGCCACTTCAGACTCTTCTTTCTCATCTGGGGCCCTTGTTACCATCCAGCAAGGCCTCAGCTCATCCTCTTGATGACAGGTTTAAAAACTTTGCCCTATTAACAATTCTTTGGATCTGGTTCAATTTCTTTCCAAAATCCACTCAAAACATCATCAGTAGTCAATTGTAAGTAAGTCCTAACTAACCTCTTCTCTAAAAGAATAGTAAGAATAGTTTCTTTAACCATGTGGCCTGTAACAGTTCTCAATTGTCTCTCACATAAAATCCACAGAAATCTAAGTTCTTTATCATGTAATTTTAGTGTCTTCTACCAACTCTCTCACACACACTCTATCTGCTGACATCCTATTTTTGTTCTGTACTTGTTCAAGCAACAAGTACTTATGAAGTTTACTCTGGACCCAGCAACCATGCTCTGAGAGCCAGTTCTTAAAATCCACAGCTATCCTCAGCACATAAATAACTTGCTTCCTTTCAAATGTGAGCCTTTACCCATGAAGTTCCCCACTCCAGGAATGTCCTTAGGGTCATTTCATACCTGAGACCCATATATGCATATCTAGCTTGGATGAGAATGAAACAGTGTTGAGTACAGTCTACAGAACTCCCAGCACAAAGTTGTTGGTTTTATCTCAATTCTTCTTGGTGTCAGAATATGCCTTCTTCAACATGGCCACCTCATCCTCTATACCACACTGCTATGGACAGCCACTCCACTGCTCAAAGTGACATAAGGCAGCCTAGAAAAATTGTTTTCATCTGTTCCCCACAGCTTCTATCTTCCTACGTCTCCCCAACTCCAACACTGGACATTTCTTTGCATACAAAACTTTGGGCAAAGTGCCTGCCACAATAAGCTTGGCAGAAGAGCCCAACTGAGGAGACCATGCAAAGGCAGCTTCCACGGTGCAGTCCCTGCAGGGACAGCTGCTGAGGGTATCAGCCTGCTGGTAAGGACACAGGGGACTGAGATGCTTGGGGCTACAAATCTGTTGGTCACATTCTAGGATTTGTTAAGGTAGTGGAGTTGTGGAGGAGTAGAAAAAATGGAAGGTACTTTTGATTAGTTTATGGCTTTTCAGTTACCAAAAAACTGTAACTTTGAACAGAGATGAACTTAGCCACCTATTTATTTACTTAATACTTTTTTTTTTTGTGGTGTGGGGGATTGAAGTCAGGGCCTTCCACAAGCTAGACAGGCTCTCTACCACTGAGGTACATTCCCAGCCCACTTAATACATTTTTACTAAGTACCTACTATGTGTCCGGCAGTTGGGCAAGATTTTAAAAGGTATGGATTCAACAGATGGACATGTATTAAACATGAAAACAGATTATTTTCAATGAAATGTAACTAATTTACTAAATAAAAGGCAATTTAAAAAGTATAACAAATGTGGTAAGCAGAAGGCATATGGGGCACATCTGCTCGGGATACAGAGAACAGGCGGAGAAATTCAAATACCTCCTTCTAACTGGAGAAACAAGACAAGGTTTCAGTGAGTGTCACCGGCCTACAACAGAATGACCTGGAGTCACTCCAATGCCCAAGTGCCACTCTAGACAAAATCGGGATGTGTAAGGGAAGGAAAGCCAGTAATCTACATGATTTAAAAATTCTTCGGTTATTTATGAAGTTCAGCCAGACTTGAGAAACACTACTCTGTGAACCAAAATTAACTACCAAGAGGGAAAATGGAAGCTAACTACTAGTTAACCAATGCTAATGCAATTAAATGACTACAAACGACATCTAGAATCAATAATACACCAAAATACCAATTATCCTTTGAAAAAATTTCCTATGGAAAGTATAGTCATGCAAAATGTTGAACTAATATTGTTCACAGTGATCTGGAGTTTTTTCTGCTCCAGAAACTTTAAAACAATGCAAACTCAAATATGACTAAAGCTTAAAAGAACTGTATCATTTTGAAATGCTATTCCTTTAGAGAAGTCTTATTTTAATTGTCTAAAATACTTTCATAATTTCAAAAAAATTTCAAAAAAAGTACTATCATAATTTCAAAGAAGAGCCACTGTCTGGAAACATGTAGAAACAAAGTTCTAAGCGCCATACTTATGAATTCAGCTGTGGCTGGAAAGTTTATTTCACATAGACACAGCCTCAGCTGCTCAACAGACACAGGAAGGAATGGGAGATGGCTGACAGAGACCTGTGGAAGACAAACTGCACCACGTTCAGGAGATGAGTATGCTAACAAACATCTACAAACCATGACTGGAAGACAAGGGTCTCAACTATAATGATTCTGTTCTGTTTATCATATAAAGCTAAATTTCTATCTGGGTTTGTTTAATAAAAAGGACAAAAACCTTCCCTGTGGTGCTGAAATCTTTGTTTGAGTAACATAAGGGCTAATTTATAACTGAGAAAAAAACATTTATTAAGGAACGTTTCACTTAAAGCTATGAAATACATTTTTCACAGGAACCTGGTTTATCACAGACCTGATGATCACTACCATCTGGCTTAACTTTACCTGAATCAGTATAAAAACGAACTGTGCAGATTTTAGGAACAAGGGATAAAAATAATTTCTCTATGTTGAAATTTATTTTTAAAAGTTAAAAAACATTTCCCCAATACACTAGCCTAAGGATATAATCCAGAAATCTGATTTGGTACTGCATATGTCTTACCTAAGTCATTGTTTTTTGTTATAGCATTTGCTGCCCTGGTTCGGGGTCCTTGCTGTGTAAACTGATATCCAAATTTAAGAATATTTGTATTTTCCTCAAGCATCTTGGCCATTTCTAATTCTACAGCTGTTCCCAACTGTTGCCTCTGGAAGAATCAGAAATAAGAAACAGTAAAATAAAGCAGATAAAAACACTTTTTAGGTAAATCAAGGCTAAGACATTCAAGCATATGCTAATTCTTCTGGCCTCTTTAAATTTTCCCAATTCTTACAATGTACATAACAAGCTTTTTGTTTTTATTTTGTTTTTTGGCAGTACTGAGGTTTAAACACCGAGCCTTGCACTTTCTAGGCAATAGTGTGATCACTTACTTGAGCCATGCCTCCAGCCCCTAACAAACACGTTTTTAAAAGTTCAGTATATAATCATATAGACATTAAAAAAAAAAAAGTGTGGATTCCACAACGAGACACTACCTTGTGCCCACAAGGATGGGTCTGACAAAAAAGCTGGACAAGTGCCATGTCTACAGGTGTGCACCACCAGCTACTCAGCAGACTGAGTTGGGGAGGCTGCCTGAACCTAGCAGCAACATAACAAGATGCGGGCTCAAAAACTATGTGGTTTCCAAGAGTGTGGGAAAACTAGGACCCTCATACATTTCTGTAGGAATATAAAATGGTATAGAAGCAAAAAATAAAATATAGTTACCATACTACCCAGCAATTCTACTCCTAGGTATAAACTCAAAACACACGTAATCGCACATGTATGTTCTTACAAGAATATGTACATGAATATTAATGGTCAAAAAGTGGAAACGCTGTCTTACGTAATCGAGTATTATTCTGCCACACAAGGGATGGAGTACGATACATGCTGCAGCAGGGATGAACCTTCAGAACATTATGAGAGGTCAAAGAACCAACACAAAAGATCACGTATCATATGATTCCATTTATATGAACTGCCCAGAACAGGCAAATGCAGACACTAAACAGCTCAGCAGTTGCACGTGCTGGAGGAGTGTTAAGTGCAGAGTAACTGCTCCCGAGTATGGCTTTTCTTTTTCAGAGTAAAGAAAGTGTTCTGAAATTAGTGGTGATGGCTACAAAACTCTGTAACTATATTACAAACCATTTCATGGTAACTAGGAATTGTATGTAAATTATATCTCAATTAGAAAATTCAAAACACCGATTAGAAAGCATTCTGGCTAAATTTTAAGAAGTAATCCTCTTTTCTACCTTCATAGTCTACAAAATTTATTTTGAAGGAATGAGGGAGACATTTATCAATTTTTTTCAAATAACTGAAGTTATTTTTCTTTTCTGTTTTTTAACATTTTTATTAGCATATAATAGTTATACAGTGGGATTTCATTATGACATTTACATATGTGCTTATAATGTATCTTAATTAGATACATCCTCTCCATTCTTCTCCCTCATTCTTCACTTCTTAGAAATATTTCAACAGGTTTCATTGTTATGTTTTGTATATACATATACAAATACATGGACCATATTTGCCCTCCTTCACCATATTTATCCTCCCTGCTCCCACTGGTACCCGCCCTAGGACAGGGTCTGTTTTACCTTCCTGTATTTCATTTTTTGTGTATATATTGCTTGTTAAATGGGGTTTTGCCACAGTCTTTCACATGTGTATATTTGGTATTTTAATCAGTTTAACTCCCTTTATTGCTTCTTTCTCTATTGCCCTGCTCCCATTATTCAACAGCTTGCAGTGCATTCTGCTATGCCATCTCTACACAGATGCAGTGTCTTTCTCTATCATTTTCTTTTCCTCTCCCCTCCTCCTAGTCCTGCAGACAGACCCACTATTATAATCACGTGCTCTTGCTATATGTATGTATGTGTGTATATCTATGTATATGAGACCATATATGTATTTATGTATCTTTTAGGTCTAGCTTCCATATATGAGGGGAAACGTGCAACTTCTGTCCTCAAGTCCTGCTTTAAAGTTATTTTTCAAATAAAAAATTAAGTCACTCTAGATGGAAACTTTTGGGGGGGTAGTACTGTGATTTTGGGCCTCACACTTGCTAGGTAGGCGTTCTACCACTTTAGACATGCCCCTTTTTTGTTTTATTATTTTTCAGGTAATGACTTGCCTTTTTTTTGCCTGGGGCTGGACTTGACTGCAATCCTCCCACCTATGGCTTCCTGCTTAGCTGGGATGGCAGTTCACTGACTGAGATGGGATCCTGCTAACTTTTTGCTTAGGCTGGCCTTGAACTTCCATCTTCCCAACCTCTACCTCCTGAAAAGTTGGGGTTACAGACCAGTCACTGCACCCGGCTGGACAGAAACATTTCTAATATGAGGTGTATTTCTCTGCATCTTTTAAGGTTCCTCTAGCTGTGGGTCATGCAGCATTGGCATGAGCACCAGTGTCTACTTGGCTTGACAGAAGGTCAACAAGGTCAGGGCAATGTGGGTACTGCAGTGGTTTGTTCTTTCATTCAGTCCATACTATTTGTCTACTGTGTGTTTGGGACTGTCATCTTCTACAGACACAGAAAGTCTACCAGATGGACCTTGCTACCACAGAGCTAAAAAATATTAGAGGACAGACTGTGTCCCATGTAAAAATCCTTTCAGTTCAAAATAGGCATAAAATGACTTAGGGAGAGCTGGGAGAATAGCTCAAGTGGTAGAGCACTTGCTTAGCAGGCATGAGGCCCTGGGTTTGATTCCCAATACCACACACAAAAAAAAAACCCTTAGGAGGAGTCGCTTTGTATATAGGTTTGTATACATTAAGTTAATATCCTAGATGCTCCGAATGTCTCTCACCCCCTTTCAGCCATCATCTTTCTGAAAGGGCTCCCTGCCAGCCCTCCTCCCACCACTCCTGTAGCTTTATTCAAGTTGCTGTTGTACAACACTGACCTGATTGTCAATCTTGAGCTCTGCCAGGGTCTCATTGTCTCTTAAAGCATCAATCAGTGCGAGGACCCCAGCTCCTGTAATGAAGTTGGACTCCATATTTAAGCTCTTCAAAGTTTTGTTCACTTTCAGCATCTCTGCAAAAGCCTAGAAATTGAATAAAATGTGTGGAGACTAAAATTTGATATGGGTAATACCATGCTTAAAGTCAAGTTTAAGAAAGGCAATGCAGGATTCAGGACACTTGAAAGAGCTGGGAGCAAACACCTACATACTTGTACTTTCTACAGAGACAGCTTGCTATATGTGGCTTTATCCAACTGTATGTACATTATTCAGTATTTAGGCCTATTATTCTGGAGCTTGAGAAATAAAACATACAAGTCTCTGTCTGATGGAGCTGGTATTCTAGTGGGGGGATACGTAATAAACAACTGGGTAAGCAAAGTAGAAGTGAGATGGCAAAAAGAAAAAAGACAAAGTAGGATAGATGGGGAGTGCTGGATAGAGTGGGCATGTCACTTTACACAGTAGTCAGGAGGGCCTCACCTGGAAGTGAGCATTTGGGCAAAGATTCCAATAAAGTGAAGTGAAACGACATGGACTTTCTTAGGAAGAAAATTCTAGGCAGAAGGAACAAATACAAAGGTCCTGATTTGAGTGCTTGTTTCAGCAGCACATACACTAAAAATGGAATGATGCAGAGAAGATTAGCAAGAATGACATGCAAATTCATGAAGCATTCCATTAAAAAGAACTCAGTAAGGTCCTGTTTGGGAGTGTGAGTGTTGCATATTTGAAGGTTGTACAGCTAGAGTAAAAAAAAGAGCAAGTAAAGGAGATGATGCTTGTTCACGTAAAGACTATGAGCTCTTCAAAAGTGAAGAGTAAAAATGAGATGATTTTACTGAAGTTTTTAAAAAGATCACTCTTTTTTGAGGGGTAGTGGAGTCTCTCTCTTTTTTTTTTGTGGTGGTAGTGGGGTTTGATTTCAGGATCTCACACTAGGTAGGCACTCTACCACCTGAGTCACTCCACCAGCTCTTTTTTTTGTGTTGGTATTTTCAAGATGGGTCTCGAGAACTATTTACCCAGCTGGCCTTGAACCGCAATCCTCCTGATGTCTGCTTCCCAAGTAACTAGAGCTATAGGTGTGAGCTATCAGCACCAGCTCCCCCCACCGTGCCAAAAAAAGTCTACTCAATGCTATGTAAAGAATTGGCTTAAAAAAATATATCAAAATAAAGAATTGGCTTTAGAGTGGGTAACACAGAAGATAGCTCAATTAGAAGGCCATGGCAATAATCGAAGCAAGACAAGATGGTGGCTTAGATCAAGATAGTAGTATTGAAAATGGTAATAAGTGGCTGGACAGGACTGAATTTAAGGTTGTGAGAAAGGAAAATCAAGGATCTCTTTTCTCATTTGTTTGCCTGGGATAGTGGAAAATTGAAGTTGTTATTTAATGAGAGAAGAGTGGGAGAGAAGTTGGCATGGGACGGAAGTGAGGAGTTTGGTGTGGGGCTCTGAGGTGAGGTGTCTGCTAGATATCCAGGCATAGCTGTTGAGTAGGCAGCTGAGTGTGACTGTGGCTGGAGCTCAACAGAGGTACAAGCTGCAGCAAACGGATAATCTGTGCCAATAAAGAAAGTGAGGCCCCTAGGAAGACAGTGCAGGCAGAGGAGAGGGACAAGCCCTCTCACATTTGGAGGTGGGGTGATGGGAGGAGCCTGAGAATGTGCAGTGAGGCTGGAGGAGAACCAAAGGCAGTGATATCTTCAAGCCAAGTTAAAGAACAGTTCATTCCATGATCGGGGGGATTTATCCAAGCGATGCAAGGGCTAATACATAGTAATCTGCAGTGCTAATGCACTGTATTCACAAAGGACAAAAGCCACATGAGCTACATGATCTCTGCACAAACAGAAAAGGCATCTGATAAAAATCCAAAACTATAATTCTATAAATGAAGTTCTCTATAGATGTTAAAAGAATGTAGAAGATTTCAATGTGCTCTGAGTGAAAAACCAAGTTATGGAACAGTGTATGTTATGTGACCCCTGTGAGGGTGTACTGTTGGGGATGGAGCCCAGGTCTTTGTACTCTACCATTGAGCTACACCTCCAGCCCCCGTTTGCTTTCAAAAACTCACCTCAGGCTGGGCAGAGTGACTTGTGCCTGAAATCACAGCTGCTTAGAAGGTGAAGAATGATTGTGGTTCAAGACCAGCCTGGGCAAAAAATATGAGATCCTATTGGAAAATAACTAAAGCTTTTAAAAAGGGCTATAGGTGTGGTTTGAGTGAAAGAGTGCCTGCCTAGCAGGTTGAGGCCCTGAGTTCAAACTCCAGTGCCACTAAAAAGTAAAATAAATAATTCTACTTGGGAGGCAGAGGCAGGAGGATCACAAATTCGAGGTAGCATGAGCTATATAGCAAGAACATGTCTCAATAAAACAAAACAAAACAAAAATGTAGGGAATGTAGGAAAAAATAAACATATAAGGCTAGCAAGTTAACGTATTGCTTAATATTGAACTAAAACAACATTGAAAAAAGAGAGTAAACTCTGTTGATGAAATCACGGTTGAACCATGCTGTCATATACCCAGGTGTGCAGGTGCAATTTTGACATTACCCACAGCAGTGTACTTACAACAGCAACGGGATCATTGCTCCGGGTGGCAGCAAGACTGAAGTACTTCACATGAGTGTTGGTCTCCAAAGCCTTTGCAAAATCCTTCAGGGTTGGAACTGGAATGTTCTTAAAAGACAATAATGTAAAGCATTATTACATTTTAGTTCTCATGAGACTCAGCCCCATTAATCAAATACATTTATTTTTGCCTTTACTTATTTGTCTTAAATATTTTTGGAAACAGGGTTTCCTTATGTAGCTCAGGTTTGCCTTAAACTTGCTATATAGCCCAGGCTGGCCTCGAACTCAAGATCCTCCGGCTTCAACCTCCCAAGTGCTGGGATTACAGGCGTATACTACCACAACCGGCTTACTCTTTTTGCTTTAAAATGTACTCAGAAATTACATAATTATATAAATGAAAACAACATTCCCCCCTCTATATCTATTAGATGTCTACATTTTGGTGTATTGGCACATACTGTTGACCGAGAACACAGCACTGTTTCTCTAGCATTTAGGGTAAAGAAACATTTACCATTTTACTTATAATTATTTTTAGTACATGAAGCCAACCCCTGGTTACCCACTTCCTACAAGGAGGGAGAAGTGGGAGTCCCTCTCTACTGAGTATGACTCTTGAAGCCAATGACATGCTCTGGGCCACTTAGCTTACAAGATGCATGAGAGATTAACCCTACACCACTTGAAGGAGGAGAAACATAGTTACAAAAGGTTACTGATTTCTCTGGCTGGTAAGCAAGACTTCAAGTCTGGCAATTCTCAGATCATTAACCTTTATTTAGAGACACAAAAAAAAAAAAAAAAGTCGAGATTAGTGCTCAACTACAAATTTTCCCCAAGGTTTCCTGTCCTCCACTCACAGGAGGGATACCCACTACAAAGCACAGAGGTTGTCTTCTTCGGCTCATGTGATTTCCAGATGCTTTCCCCTCCTACCTCACCATTCAGAGAAATTCAGATTTAAAATGAGGAGTATGAAATGAAGCTTTATACAATGGACAATATCCAAGACAGTCTGAGTTTAATCTTTGCTAATTCATTACACCTATACACTTCTCCACCTTTCTTTCCTTATTCCAAGGAAAAGTTGCACTGTTTAAAACCCAATAAAACCCCAGAAAGCCTATTTCTATGTGCTTAAGAGAAATAAAAATAATATGTTCACACTAGAACCTGTATGCAAGGTTTATACATAGTCATCTCAGACTGGAAGTAACCCATGTTCTCTCTCAACTGAAGAACGGATAAACAAATTGCAGTATATTCACGATGGAAGACTACTGAGCAATGAAAAGGAACACAGTGCTGACACTTGCAACAACATGGATGAAATTCAAATATGTTATGCTAAGTGGAAAGGCCAGACTCCAAATGCCACATACTACAGATTCCATTTACATGATGTTCTGGAGAAGGCAAAATGATGAAGGAAAACAGATGAGTGGTTGTCAGGGCAGAGGGTGGAGCAGAGAATGACTGTAAGGGGAATGAGGAATTTCTGGAGTGACAAGTATGCTCTATACCTGACGGTGGTGGTGGTACAACTGCATGCATATGTTAAACTCACAGCACTATACACTAAAAGGGAGACTTTTACTACATAAATAGTATGCTTAAGAAACCCTGATTTTTACAAACAACCCAAAGGACTAAAGATCTTAAAAGTCAGATTTACTGTAAGGCTTACTTTTTTATATGATAAACTTTAAAAAAATTATATTCTATAATACTTTAATTTGTAAAACTTAAGGAACCTGCATTAGCATATTGCTAGGTTCAACCGACTCAACAAAAGAGGAAGCCACTTTGAAGCTCTACTGTCAAGTCTTATATGCTTAACATTCTTACCTTGATGTTGTTCAAATTAACTTCAACAAGCCGAGCATCATCTTCTTTAATTCTCTTTAAACTCTCTTCAACATTGGTTGGATTTGGTGGCTCATCAAACACTGGAAGAATCTTTTCACCTTTTACTATATCTATAGGAACAAGTGAAAGTAGCAAGAGTTGACTGATTGGCTGGTCCTATGAGCACAGATAGATATATATATTAATTTGGTAATCTCTCTTTCCTTGAGATGATATTGCTATGTAGTCCAAGGCTAGCCTTTAACTCTTGATTGTCCTGCCTCAGCCTCCCAGGTGTGTACCACCAGGCCTGGCTTCCACTGATCAATCCTAACACATTCCCCAAAGATGAGGACGAGCTTGATAAGCTTCCTGATATGATTTAATCACTACCTATGAGGCCTTCTTGTCAAAATCCCTCAAAACTCAAACAGTGAATCCCTGCACCTGAGTCTGAAGTCACTACACATAATAGTTTATGGAAACACAGGAGATGAAAAACATGAAATAACACCATGGGGTTGCAATCATCCAAATCCAGAAGCGGAAGTTTTTGTTTGACAAATAATCAAGCTTCTTGAAAAAATGGCATGAAAAAAAAGTGGGGAAGAGAAGTCGAGGAGAGCTGTTTAGAAATTAAAAGAGAATGAAAAAACAAACCACCAAGTACAATGTATAAATCTGAACCAAACATAAAATTACATCTTTGAAAGAATGGGGGAAATACGGACATGGAATGAGTTTCAGGTGACACGAGGAATCATTACTTCTAAGTTTCATAACAGAATTGTGGTTATGTTAAAAGAAAAGTATTTATTTGTGAGAGACATGAATAGAAAAATGTTTATGGGTGAAGTGACACAAACGAGCAGGATTACAGAAAAAAGTGGAAAGGGTAGGGAGGGACACAGAAGACGGATGGATGAAACAAGGCTGGCACAATATTGAAGCAAAACAAAATGAAAACAAATAAAAAATAGCTGAAGCTAGGAGAACAGTACATTATTCTTTCTTCATTCTCATTAATTCAAACATCTCTAAAATAGAAAGTCAACCAGGGGGAATGCCAACTGTAGCACATCATAAAATGGAATGTTCCACAGATGTCTGAATGAGATAGATCTGTGTGTACTAACTAGGAAACATGATCCAGGACTGGAGGAGTGGCTCAAGCCCTAAGAGCACCTGCCTACCAGGCGTGAGGCCTTGAGTTCAAACCCTGGTACTGCAAAAGAAAAAGAAAAACACGATCCATTGCTGAATGGTCATAGTATATAGCATGGAATCAACCCTTGCCTCCTACTTTGTGTGAAACTGAGCTAGTTATCATTCTAAAATCCCAGCTTCCTCATATGCAAATTAAAGAGAATTATAATACCTATTCCACAGAGCTATTGTGAGGATTAGGGAGAAAAATCCACATTCCAGAGATGTGCACACGAGGAATATCGCAGAGTGAGCATTAAAAGTTAGCCAAAGGGGGAGGGGGATGAGGGAGAATGATAGAGGAGTCGAATCTAACCAAGGGACATTGTAAGCACTTACGGAAATGTCAAAACGAACCCCCCAACACAACTAATATATACTAATGGAGGTGTTTAAAGAGTGAATTTGCTAAAAAAAATTAACCAGTAATATATTAAAAAAATCAAGTTAGAAGAAATTGTTAACACTAGAGTGATGGTAAAGGGTATAGGGGGAATAATGTCTGTGGAATAGAGATGATTTTTTTTTTTTTTTGACAGTACTGAAGTTTGAACTCAGGGCCTTGTACTTACAAGGCAGGTGTTCTACCATTTGAGCTACACCTCAAGATTTGTTTGTTTGTTTGTTTGTTTATGGACTTAACACACTTAATCCAGGGCCATCCTTGAACTGCAATCCTACCTACCTCTGCCTACTGCTTAGCTGAGATTACAGACTTGAAGCATCATACCAGGCTTGCTTTTGAGATAGGGTCTAATTCGCTTTTTGTCTAGGTTGGTCTCAAACTACTACACTCCTATCTCTGCTTGCATGTAGCTGGGATTTTAGGCGTGAGCCACTGAGCCTGGCCAAGACACTTTTACTTCTTACTACATACATACACTTAACGTACCGCTTAAATATCCTATGAAAGCATACATCACCTTGAGAAACTAAAAACACTCTATAAATGAATTTAAAAACAAATAAACTTTGTTTAAGGCCATTTAGGGGTTGAATAGTTTTTGTGGTTTCTCCTGAATCCGATTTACAATATAGTGTCTGTTTTAGAATTACTGTTTTCTTAAAACTTCGTAACACTGGACTGGAGTTGTGGTTCAAGTTGTAGAGCGCCTGTTTTGAGTTCAATCCCAGTCTCACCAAAAAAAAAAAAAAAAAAAAAAAAAATCAGTGACACCAATATAAAATGTCAATAAAAAATAAGTTTGGCTGGGCTGGGGATGCAGCTCAGTGGTGGAACATTTGCCCAGCTACCTTGAGGCCCTGGGTTGGGTTCCTAGCACTGCAAAACAAACAGAAAAACAAAGTAAAACACACACACACCCCAACAACCCTAAGTTTTGCCTAGTTTTTATACTGCTTATCATTAGTATTATTTACTGTGGTGAAAGTAGCTCTTATTACCTTTGTCAACACACAAAATATTTCAGTGGCTGTCTGTTAATATGATCAAACTGTAATTTCAAGTTTAAGTACACGTGTGTAAGGTGTAATACCTGGTATATAGATACTGAAGTTGACACACATTTAACAAAGGCTGGAATCCATAAGGCATTTTAAATACTCACTTGAAAAATGTTCTTGGTCAACACCATCACTACTTCCCACTATACTGCAAAACTGCGTATTTGTTATCAAACTGTGCATTCCAAGAATAGCTATAAACATAGAAAAGGAAAGATAAAGTTAATTTTTATGTCCGTGCACTTTAAACTTCATTTTTTAAAAGATGGAGTCCTGCTATGTTGTCCAGGCTGGTCTAGAACTTTTGGGCTGAGGCAGTTTTCCTGCCTCAACCTCCTAAGTAGCTGGGGCTACAGGTGCAGCCACAGCACCAAGCTTGCAAAACACTTCTATCAGTAATTTTGACATTCTCCAAACATCTTCCTACTAAATTAAATACAGATTTTTAGAGCCAAAAAAAGAAGGGAAATAAAGTGACTAAAAAAAAAAAAACTCCCCTACAATCTTATTTTCATCAAAAATCTGTGTTATTTTCCCCACATTTCTGAACTTACATTTCCCCACTTTATGAATTCAGACACACAGTTTGAGCCAGCCTAACCCTAAAGGCAAATCTATTCTTAGCTCCACCGGGGCTCACAGAGAAAACAGAAAAGATCTATTTTGCAGCTCATAATGCCACAGGGAAGACAGGTTCAACTTGACCTTCCTTATCTTTGCATTTGTTATCATTAAGTTATGTGTGCATTCTAGAATATGAAAAGTACTGTTAAATTCTTGTATTTAAGAACACAGTACCATCTCTCAAAGATGACACTAAAGAGGGAAAATAAACTTGGTTTTTGCTTTTCATATCCCTCTCCACAATTTGGATATCCTTATTTTCACAATTAAGGCAGAAGCACAGTATACCCTGGGCCCGTTTCACTCCGATGAAGGTACCATTAACAAATCCACCAGTCCCTCAAGGAATACCCTACCTTTGCTAGCTGTGACACTCCACCTCAACTGGAATCTTTCAAAGATGTCAACTACACAATAACTTTTATTAGTGCAAAAATGTCACCACTGAGAGTACTTATAAGAAATTATCACGTTAGATTTAGTGTATAAAATATAAAGGCAAATATCTGGTTACTTATGCAACTTTGCTAGGCCAACCAAGCATTTTGTACAATGTACACAGGCGTGTGCTGGCATTCCCCTCTCCATCTCACACTCACTTAAGATCAATTTTTAGGAGGTACCTGCAAGGTCAGACAACTCTGTATCAGAAGCACTTGTCAAAGCTTCTTCTAACTCTGGATCCAGAGCTATGTTTTCTTCTGTAAAAGTCTGTACAGGTTTCTGTTTGGGGATAAATATTTTCCCTGTAAAATGAAACACTTTGTTAATTCTACTGCTACTGTTATTGACTCATTACCATTTTTACTCTTCTAACAGGCTTTACTAAAAAAAAGCATGTGCAACTGAAACAGAAGGTCAAGATGAACATTCTCAGTAGTTTAGCTTCCTCTTTGATATGGATTTAATGAGTGTCCACAGTAATACTGTTGTACAAGTTGGAAGGAAAGACAACTGAGAACCTTCCTTATCTGTAGAAATAAAAATAGGCTCTTTTTGGAGCAAAAGAAATATTTTTTTGAGACAGGGTCTCATCTCACTATGTAGCTTGGGCTGGCTTCAAACTCATGATCCTCCCATCTCAGCCTTTCAAGTACTGAGATTACAGGTTATACACCACCATGCTCAGCTCTTTTTGGACTAATTACTAATCATGAATTAGTAATTCATAATTATGAATTGCTTTATAAATAACGAATCACTAAATGAGATAGGGTGTAATGGTTCACAGCTGTCATCCCAGCACTCGGGAGACTGAGGCAGGAAGACTGAAAGTTCGAAGCCTGCCTGGGCAGTTAAGACCCTGTTTTAATCAATCAATCAACGAACAGAAAATTCACAAAACTTCAAAGGGAAAAAAAAAAACCCAACCGCCCAGAATCTACTTTTTTATTCTTTTTTTTTTTTTTATTGTTTTATTTCTTAAGCAACAAACTGCTACAGTCACTTGAGGGATGGCAGAGGCACTTATGAGTCCAGAAATTCAAGTTCTAATTGCAAGGAAATTTCTCTATATCCTGAGTGGTATTCTGAAACTTCTGATCATTGTTCCACTAAGCATCATCGGACACAAACAAGACTACCTCTTCAGAAATTCATTATCCTGAAAACGGAAAGTTTATTACTGTGTGAAAGTCAGTAAGCTTATTACCATATATTATACAAGACTGAAATATGAAAACACTGATGTAACTGTGGCACTAGGTGACCCAAGATGTGACTTGCATGAGGTAGGGGCTAGGTTACCAAGGTTGTCTCTGCTTTCTCCCCTAAGAGGAAATTGGTGAAAATTTTAACCCAAATTATCTGGAAAGCCTTATGTATGGAATTTAAAGTACCAATTTTATTAAGTAAAGAAACTACCAGGAAAATAAGTGAGACTACATAGCCTTATGAACCTATGAAATGCTCTATCAAAGGAAATGACTATGGGCTTATACTTAGTGTGGTAAAGGTTGTTTACTTCTTGTTCAAGGCCAGTATCAGTGTAACCATAAGAAATCCTTCCATAATACAGAGTGTTATCACAAATTTGACCAGGTGTTTTTTTGCTAAACTCATCTAAAGGATCTTCATTCCTGATAATATGTATTTTAAAAATTTTTAGCGTTTCCTTTTACTTCTTTTAACTGGCTTTAAGTCTCTGCTAAAAATTCCCTATGTCCTCACACATCCAGCATATCTTCTGCATCAAATTGTTATTTTCATCATAGTTATTTTAAAGTGTCTGACTAATCACATCAATATCTGGGTCATCTCTGGGTCTTCTATTGACGATTTACATTCTTGACTATGGATCATATACAAGTATAACAGATGTAAAGGAAATGGTATTCATTCCCAGAGAGGAGCACGCCTTAGGTCAGAGCTGAGCTGCTTCCTTGTTAGCTTTAAACATTCTGAAGACATGGCCAGAGGCTTCCCATCAGGAAGGCCTGGGAGTAGGACCCTGGGGAGATTCTGGAGCTTTACTGAGCTGCCCACTCTTCTGTGAACTCTGAGAGATTTCTTCTGACTGACAGCAATGCTTGTCTTGTCTGCTCTACATTCTGTGAAGGGTGGATAGCCTGGAGAAGACTTCTCCTTGCTCTGTTCCCCTAGCTGACAGCCCATGCCTTAGGCAGTTTCTTTCAGCTCCTCTCCATTGCCTCCTTTGCTAACATTCTAGCACTAAATGTAACACCTTTAGAAAGAGTTGGTGGTTACTGCAGTCTCACTGTCTATAGGGCTGCACCATCCAATACAATAGCCACAAGCCGCACTACTAAGTTCATTAAAACTCTAGCCATCTCCCAGTGCAATGGTGCACATCTGTAATCCCATCTAATTAAGAAGATCAAGGTTGAAAGCTGACCTGGGCAAAAAGTTAATAAGATCTCCATCTTGACAAACAAGTGGGGCATGGTGGTACAAACCTGTAATCCCAGCTATGCAGGAAGGAGAGGTAGAAAGAACATGGTTTGAGGCCAGCCCTGGGCAAAAACACAAAACCCTATCCGGGAAATAACTAAAGCAAAAAAGAGCTAGAGTCGGCTCAAGTGGCAGGCCCCCTACCTAGCAATTCCAAGACCCTGAGTTCAAACCCCAGTACAAAAATTAAATAAGTAAGTCACATCAGCCACATTTCTATTTGCTCACTATACACACCTGGCTCATTATCTGTGTTAACCAGTATGGTAGGTACTAGTCAAATGTAGCTTATTCTGTTTGCTTTGGTTGTTATGGCCAATATTGTGGCTTATGTGTTGAAGACACCTAGCTGGTGTCTACTTTCTATGAGCTTTTCAGGGGCAAGGTCTCTGTTCTGTTCATGTCTGCATCCTTGCCTAGAATACAGAAGGCAATCGCATTTGTTGAATAAATAATTTGGTGATCATCTCCAGTCCAATGGCCTCACTTTATAAAATATAATTTAAGTGTGCTGGTTCAAAGTTACATGAGCAGAGCCAATACTAAGAACATAACTCTTACACCAGTGCTTCTTTCAATAAACTCATGACTTATAAACTTAATTATTTTTAGCAGGAGACCTCCCCCAGCCAAACAAAAGCCAATCTATATGATGGTGTGCACAACTGATCTTCCTACTACTAAATTTTAGAGCACTGATGATTAGGTGATCTCTTGTGATTGGATCACAAATAAAGGCAAACCCAAAGCATTAAGTCCTAGTGATTCCACAGTACTATTCACAGTGGGTACTGTAACAATTAAAGTGACATATAGGCAGTGTGCTTAACATACACAAGGCCTGGATTTGAACCTCAGCACCTCCCACCCCAAAATGGCCCATAGAGTTCAGGGGGTATGACTTTAATTGCCATTTCAGGAAATGACATTTTCTTGGGCTCAATCTCACCTGCACTTTCAACTGTCTATGGCAGTTGTTCTAAATGTTGGACGCATACTTGATTTGCTGAGGAGCTTTAAGAAATTCTGATGTTCTAGTTGTATCCCCAGAGCTTCTGGTTTAATTGGTCTGGCTGCTGCCCGGGCACCTAAATTTTTAAAAGCACTCTAGGGATCCCAATGCATAGCAGCCACAATTAAGAACCACTAGATTACGGCATTCACTGACTAAGTTACACAAGCTATTACCACAAAAATGGAAGCACGGGAAGGTAATGTGTACGTTAGACAGCTTGTTCCACCACTGTACATAAAGCATGTGCATATATCAAAACAACATGTTGTACACTATAAATATATGATCAGCTCGTGCTTGTTGACTAAAAAAAAGAAAACCACAAGCTGCAAAATAGCTGCCCATATCTTATTGAAGGGACTGAAAGAATCTAAGGCATTATAAAAATGTAAGATGTTTATTTTTCTAATCCTCAACCCACATTTCTTAATAGGCATTATTCATATCTAATTTTCTCCCATCCATAAACTTTAGTGAATTCTTACAAATATAAAATGAATCTGAAGCTAGCAAAATAGCTCGAAAAATAAAAGCACCTGCCTAGCAAACATGAAGTCCTGAAATCAACCCCTAGTACAGCAAACAAACAAAAACTAATCTCATCAGATAAAACAACACAACAAAACAAAACACAATTCCCAAGGACCTCTGGAAATTCTGATACAGAATTTTAAAAAGCCCTGATGTAGCGTGGGGCCTGTCCTCACACTCTCCCTCCAGAATAATTTCTCTGTATACAGAAATTTTTGCAATATACATATTTGGCCTATACAATATTGTGTCTGTAATAACTTCAGTATTTTCTCCACGATTAGTTTAACACTAACACATTGTAAGAAACTATTTTTAAATGTTCATACACATTGTTTAGAGAAGTAAACAAATTAAGTTTTTAGTATTATGAACACAAAATCTAAGTGCTCTTTTCAAATTGATTTATCAATTTATCAATTCAAAATCCCCATTGGGTATTTTACAGAAAGTGACAAGTTGTTTTGAATATTCTATTCATATGGAAATCCATGGGTCCCAAAATAGTCAAACAATCTTGAAAACAACCAAAGCTGCTGGACTTAACACTTGACAACTTCAAATTGTAATAAAAAGTGATGGTAAATAAAGACAGTATTATGGTACATCAGGGAACTAGTGTAACCCACTACACAGGAAAGACATTTAGATCAATGAAATAGAATTGAGAATCAGAAGTAAACTCTTACACTTATGGGCAATTGACTTTTCTACAGGATATTAAGACAATTCAATTGAGAAAGAATAATGTTTTCAACAAATAGTATTAAGACAACTGGAGAGTCACAAGCAAAAAAATGAAATTGGACTCCACTATCTCACATCATATATAAATATTAATTTAAAACAGATTATAGATGTAAATGTAAGAGCTAAAACTATTAAAACTCCTAGAGAAAATCATAAGAGCATACCTCCATGATCTTGAATTAAGCCATAGTTAGGTAGGTACATAATGTATGTGTGTATGTATGTATGTATGTATTTACTTGTTTAGTGGTGATACTGGGGTTTGAACTCCAGTACCTCACACTTGCTAGGCAGGTGCTCTACCACTTAAGCCACTCCATCAGTCCTTTTTTGTGTCTGGTCTCGTGAACTACTTGCCCAGACTGGATTTGAACCTTGATCCTCCTGATCTCTGCCTCCCAAGTAGCTAGGATTACAGGCACGAGACACTGGTGCCCCACAGGCAATGTTTTTTAGATGATAATAAAAGCACAAGTGACTAAAGAAAAAAAAAATAGATAAATGGGATTACATCAAATTTAAAACCTTTGTGAGGCAAAT